CAAAAAAATGCTCACAATTACGAACTTCAAGTACGTGGTTTGTTATGGTTCACTGTTGTTTATCATATCTATCGAGCTTACATAGTTCATCATGACTGCAACATTTCCCCTTTCTCATTCTGGTGATGATGATTCCATTTTGTGCGCTTTTTCTTTCTATCTTAGGTTGTCGGTTATATCGATGAAAGCGCAGTAGTTTACACGGTTCAGCCCTGGTCCTCCTACACTTCTACACCAAGCCGGCAACGTTCATCGGATACCGGTAGCAAGCAACAAAAGAGTTCTCTCCAACTGGATGGTGAGTCGCTGAATGGTATGAGTTTCGGACCGCAACATATTGCCTCAATGCGAGTGACAGAGTCGCTGAATGGTATGAGTTTCGGACCGCAACATATTGCCTCAATGCGAGTGACATATGTCCACTCGGGGAATTACGAACCGACCGTAGAACGCGTCCCGTTGGCGGTCACCGTACCCAGTCTGACTGGCGAGCTGCGAACAGAGCGGGTGAAACGCTCGGCACAATTGATTTCTCCAAACCGACAAGGAGTAGTGCGACCTGGAAAACGTCGAGCTGCCGGACGCGGAGTTGGGGACCGTCGAAGTCAGAGACATCGTCGACGACCAAAACAATTTATCTCAGAGCTCCAGCTCGAATTATCGATTAGAATCGTTCGATTATATGATAGGGTGAGTCCAGGTTCAGGACTTCAACTAATCCCATTGTCGTTTTCCATCCTTTTTCGGTTGGTTTCTTCAAGAGTTGCGTGAGGTATCAGACTGAGGCAAAGACATTTGGTACTCGTTTAGAAACATATGGCAATATTCCACCCTTTCTGCCTATTTACATTTAACGTCTTTATTCCCATTTTCATCGATAATTCAAATGACCTGGCTGAAAAGGCTTCGCTGGGTGGGTCTCCTTTTTTATGCTAACAAGCCCCATATACTATTCTGTCAAGCTCTCGTTAACAGTGGATGTCTACTTGTTTATCTGTTCAGGCATAACTGAGCTAATGGAGTACATTTCATGATGTAGGATTGAAGCAAAGTGGAGAAAAGATTTTTTTAATTATTTATGACAACAGAACGTTACTGAGCGAACAGCATGAAGAAAGAATAATTTGATTGAATGGTCGAGTGTAATTTGGTGATTTCTCCTTCTAATCTGTTCTACCCGCACAGACTGTCACCATCGGGTCTGAGCATAGATTCACATGCCGCATTTGGGCTTATGCTTAGAGCTCATTCACATAGAACTAGTTGAAGGAAAAATGGAACAAACGTTTTCGGAGATTAATTTCAAAAAAGACCAGATCCTATTACCGTACAATTTCATTTCAAGACGATTTCGTTACATATCGACAGCATAAAACATAAAGTTTCTATATAACATAGCATATCAACAAAGTACGTTGCAAGACAATAAAAGAGGCAAACATAAAACAAAATGGAGATGGGTAAATGGAAGAGCATGTCACTAGGGTAAGTGCAAGCACACGTAATGCTCTGTTTATTTACCAAGGGGTTGTCCACCAGTTGACAACAATCGCTTTAATAAACCATAACAGTCTTGCGATTCGAAAAATCGTGCTTCGATTGACCTGGTATTGCATCATCAGAAGAAGTCGAGCTATGACTGATGGCGCGGTCTGGTAGTTTTGACCATTGTTTCTGTGACGCGAACTTGACCTCAATGGCGTACCTATTTGTAATGTACATTCTAGAAAATAAACACTCAGATCTTCTCAGAAATTCAGATTTAAAACAATCCTTGGAGTTTTAATTCCGAACCAAACCCGTTCTAATACCCAAAAATGAGTTGTAGGAGAACTTATGTTTTTGTGATTTTCCTCTCTTGTCATTACAATCACTTAAACATGGAAATTTGAGGAATGTCTTGCGCAGTCAGTTTGAAGTGTGTAACACAAACAGGCAGTAAGCTGGATGAGTTAACTTCATCGCGAAACAGTCTTATGGATCATTGAATTGTGTTTGATGGTGATCATTGAAGTCACATTAAGCATGACGTATTTTCAACACATTCTACAACTGACAGTGAAGAGAAACCGTGTAACTCAAAGGTTTTATAAATGAGAAACAAATGGATGTCGTGAGAAACTCTTATGCAATAGGCGGTGACTTTTCAAGTCAGATATGATAGTTGTCCTAGTTACCAAGATACGGGCAAGATGACACCATTTCGATACATGGTGGTGCGAGCTCGACGACTTCTAAATTTAGAACGCGTACTCGGATGCGGTACACAGATTTATTGAGATGAGCATGGCAGGCATGTTCTTCAACTGACAGTATTGTGACTGACAAATCATATAAAGGTGTCCAAATGCTTGCACACAATGAACTCAAACAAATCGGTCGTGGGAATGGCACTGCAACAAGAAAACAACTATTTAGGATGTCTGAAACAAATGAATAGTCTTTTCTCCTTTAGACCACGATAAAACACCGGGAAATGGTACAACTCAGCTTACGTGGTTTCGACAGCCAATCGGAAACGTAATCGGCTGTCAATCGGGAAAGTTAAAGTGCTTGAACTAGTATGCTCTCGTTTCTCAACGTCAGGTTTTGAGAGGTGGATGAAAACTGCCCCAGTGTTCAAAGTTTAACTGACCGGGATAGGTTTTGTGAAACAGTACAAAAAGTTACAAAAGAATAGCCAGTGGAATTTCCACTGAATGTCCGGCTTCCGCAAAGTGTGCAAGATTAGAAATTTAGATCGCACTGGTCCCTACATCTCTAGAACATCGCGGATGCTTTGAATTGACTGTGGATGAGTTGACTTCATGATATGGTATGATAAACCTGAAGAATCTCATCAATTTGGTACAAGATAACGTCCCTATCGCCACCCGAGGCAACCTATTTTCGGATGCCCAGAACGGTTAAGATAACTGTCTTGGAGAGTTTAATCTGGAGCTTTTGGTTATGTAAAACCTAATCTACAAGCCAGCGAGAAAGCAGTGGTAGCTACAGCCTCATGATACCGGTGACCAAAGTAGTTCAGACACCGTTCGAATAGTCAAACTCAGGGGACCATAAATCCCCGAAGAGATACGGGTAACTGTAGGTTCATACATACACTACGAATCACGATAGAGGAGATCTCTCACACTCGTGGAAATCGGCTTTTAACAGGGAAACTTTGTGTTGCTCTCTTTTATCGTTCTTTTAAGTTCAAGCAGGTGAGTGATTTTATTTTTGAAAGGCCAGTCACGTCAAACTTTACCACGTTTAACCATCATTGGGCACATGTGGTTTCGCTGGATATACAGCTGACCAGTTTGTCACCCGTCTCCCTCCCTCCCCGTCAAGCTCTGGTAATGTCGCCGCTTTTTGTCCACGACTCCTTTTTTGTCACAGTGAGCAATGACTTACTTATTTTCATTTAATCCTTTAAAAGAGCATCACACTATCTACAACCTGGGGACGACACCTGGCGACATACAGCTATGCACACTTCCTGAGTTTCGTTGTACCCGGAAGCTCCGGAATGATGTTTATTGATGCTTTTCATCACCAACCTTATCGTTTGACCTGTGTAGGCAACAACACCGGTGCACCGAAATTGAAAAACGCTCATAGACGAGCTCAACAAATATGATTTGTCTTCACGGTGGCATCGAATTGCTGGTGGTGGGGTTGAGTTACGCAACGCTGATGATCGCTCTGCCTGTGGCACCGAACACCTTGGTGGGGTTCTCGGTCGGGACATTATACTTATAAAGGAGGTTGAGAGACTTGGTTTTTTCCAACCAGTGTGATTTTCGCTGGTTGGGTCATTCTAGTGAAGTTTCAGTTGATAAGGTTCTCGGGGTATACTTTATTTGGTAACAATTGGGTGTTTATAATATCTACTGACAGGTAGTCAGGTGGACAAACTGATACCGTTGAACAGCCTCCGATTCCCAGTCTATCCTAACGCATACATTGACGAAACAATTACATATCTGCTAGCTGATTACACTTTTGTGTTGTTTTCACAAACAAATATGTTTAGGAAATCCGGAAAATTAACTACATAAAGGCAAGTTTCTGTTCTGACTGAAAGTTCCTTTGAATAAATATGATGATTATATGTTCGGAGAAATTTTGTAGATATGCAGGCTATCTGGTATACACGGCAATATCTTACCAAATGGGTTTGTTTTCTTCCTCATTTCTGCAGTACTGACTTTTTAATCGTATGAATAAAGGATGCACTTACTAACCAGTCATTTTCGAATCACAAACTATTTTCTCATATTTTCAACCCCAGGTCACGAGCGGAGCTCTTCAGTCTGGTGTCACTTTTCGCGTCCCAGCCTTCTCCTACGTTTGCCTACGTGCGGAAGATTTGCTCACCACAGATGTTCTACGTGCGGTTCGCAGCGATTTAGTCAATTTGTTGTTCGATGTGAAGGTTGCACCGAGTCAAGGTGTTCTGGTTCGCCGTTCAACACTGCAACGCCTCATGCTTCTCCATCCAGATTATCGTCCGATTCACACGAACAAAATGTTCGGCAATCAAGCACCCATTAGTTTGATGGAACATGTAGAGCTCACTGTGGCCGAGGAACGATTGCGTTTGGAAAAAGCCCAACTCGGTTCAATTCAGCTAGCTGATCTGGAATGGTCCGACGTGTGTTACGTGAACCAGAGACGGGATAGAACGAGCGATCTGATCGGCCTGAAACAAGTGGGGCGTCAGGACTTTCCCACCGTCTACATGAACATTGAAATTGGAGTAAGAGATAGAGCAAACATTAGTGTGCATGCTCCAACCACGATCCTAATTCAGTTCGCCTCTTCAGTTAGAAATGTTTACCATTTTGCCGGAACATGCGTAGGGCAAACACTGCAGGGTGCTTATATTTAAAGTTCACAAACCCCGGACTAAATACGAACCTTTTCTGTAAATGTAAAACCCACCCTATCAAAAACCCGCCCTACGATTTGTAAATATTTTTCAAATCAAGTCGAGTCAACGGTGAAATTTATTCATCCTTTATAGACAGACTTCGGTGAAAAATGTTATCATCTTTGCTTTGGAGTGTATGTGAATAAAATGGATTTAAAGAACTGTAATTTAGTTAACAGACAATGAGGATGAGGAGCGAGAGAGCAAAACAAAAGTTGAAAATTGTTGCGTGAAAATTTTCAAGAGATTGTGTTTCAGTTCATTTAATATTCGTTCCTCGGAAACCAATAAGTGAGAAACATAACGTAGAGCGGAATGGTGAAATACTGTGGAGCGAATGTGTAAAGGCCAGAGAGGTTCGAGTGTAAAGGATGCGATTGATGCATCAAACAAGATTGAGTCAGAACAGACGGCCGTACGCCTTACAGTGTTGGTGGACAACTGAGTCAACTTAATAAACAGGCACATCGAATTGGATCACATGTACACGCCAATGCAACTGAAGGACCAAAGGTCATGCCGTGACCTGAGAACGGACGAAAACCGCAATCGGGACGAGAGGACAACTTCCTCCCCTCACACCCTCACCCGCTCGCAACAGTTCAACGGCGGACCGAGTCGAACACAGTGAGAACAGGGGACGAAAATAGTCGGTGGAGAAGACCACATATACGAACGAACGGGTACAGGCAGAACACTGCCACTTCACAAGCACTGATGATGTCACCTCGGCTGGTGATGAAACGTTTGCAAACAAATTGCCAAGCTCGGCGAACAGGCGAAATGGAATTGAGTCAACCAACGCCTTACAAGGGACAGCTCCATATCTAGAGGCGCTTTTCAGGGAACGTTTGATCAATATGAAATCCTAAGACAATAGACCGGAGAGGATAGCTGGGGAGCAATAGATCCATTAGCGAAAAATGCACGAGAAACTAAATTTAGAAACAATGTATAATGACATCCTGAGATGTTGAATGTGCGAAATGTAAAAGATCAACAATCTAACCTTAAAACACGTGTGTTCAGCGTGGTAGGACGATTTGAGTTCAGCTAACGGGAAACATTCAAAGTACATGAACTGCTATGACATTTCAACGTTTAAGTTGTTGATCGCGATGTTGGCGGCAGATGATCCTGAAGGTGTTGATGGCCTATGATTATTAAAAAAAACCAATGCATTTAGTTGGATGTAAAGAAAGGTTAAGATCATAGGACCATTTAGAAATTGAACCTAAGGCTTTTTCGAGGGGTTTGATTGGAAGTTTATTGTCGGATGCACCATCAACCCCTATGTCATCGGCACATCCCATTCGTGAGTCTCAAAAGCCTCATTGTACAAAAGATTCTTATTTGTATGGTTACTCTTCGCCAGAGAACCTCACCTTTAGATTTTCTATTGAACCCTCAAAAGAACTAATTCGTTGTACATAGAAAACATTTGTTTTGAGTTTGGGCGAACTACATTTAGACCGATCGATGGTGTGGTAATAATGGATGGTACCTTTGGAACGATTGAACAGAAAATTCGAGATGATGCTTTAAACTTCACTCTGTACAAAAGTTATGTGGATGATATTTTTATTCTCTCAGATAATAAAATTTTCCGATCCCTTCGACAGCTTTTGAGTTCAGCCCATCAACACTTGTCTGTATCTCTTGAAGTAAAGAGTAACTCTGTGGTAATCTTGAACATAATTAAGGGCCGTCTAAGGAAAGAGACATTACCACATTCTGCTGATTGAGTAGCAACTAGGGATCGGACAACATTTTCATATTTCTAGGTTCTATCCATGGTCTAAAAGCGCGGAAGTGTGAAAACCGTAGTTTATAGATTAAAAACATCTTTTCATTACTCAAACTACCAGAAATAAACGAATTCCTAAGGAGAATATTTATAAATAATGGTGTGCTTGATAGACACCACCATAAAGCGACTTTAGTTCCAAAATATTTCCTGCGGCAATTTGAGCTGGTGCATTAGAAACTTATTAACAATTAAAACGAGATCACTGGATTTCATTACCGTTACTTCGGTAAATTTTAGATTCTTAAGCTTCAGGTTACGTCACATTGGCTTAGAAGAATACAGTTAACGATATGTCAAGCTGCCATGAATACCATGGGATGGAATATTCTCAGTTAATGTTGTTTGGTTGATTGAATTATCGCTTCGAATTGGGAAAGGTTCAGAAACCCCGGTAGGATACGAACCCGCGCATGAACGCCGTCTACGCTTCTTTATGCCTCTGAAAATTGGATGGTTAATCCAAATGTGAAAAGATCAGTTTTGCGGGTGCGGTCGCTTAGCTTAGCCGGTGGAGTGTGAGTTGTATTAGAGCATAGGCTGCGTTCATGCGTGGGTTCGAGTCCCACCGAGGCCACTGAACTTTTCCCAGTTCAAAAACCTCTACTTTTATTCATCATGATCACCTTTGGGATGATATAACGTCATTGAATGACGCGTATCCGGAGTTCATGGCAGATTTAGGTTTAGCGTTCTCTGTCACACAGCCTCGTTTGATACCCTATGTTACGATGAATGTCCAAACACATTCTCAAACGACGTTTACCATCAACGACGCAAAAATAATCCGAAGGTAAACTGAATGACCACAGAATCTGGAGTCATCGATTGCCAATTCTAATAGGACAACAAGGCACATGGACCACTCTTTTTCACCGTTCAAGGACTTGTGACGTATGCTTGTCAAGCTTTTACAATGCTGTTAGCCGACACTAATTAAATCAATTTCCTCTTCTTGTCGTATGTGAAATATGTTTCTGATGTGATGGTCACAGACATGGAACTGATTTTCCCTTGAATGTATCACCCAAGTATCATAACTGTAACCGTATCCACTTCTCTGTTTGACGAACAAAATTTCAGTGTCATAAATTGTGTGTGCTCATGCAAGAAGTAGAAATACAAGGGTTTTCTTACGTTGGCAGACTCGGACCGAGCAGGTATCTCCGTTTCAAAGTGTTTGAACGAGACGATTTGTGCACTTCAGTAAACAAAACAGTGCATAAGGAAATTATTCTCGAAAAGTTTAAAGTTAAAGTGAATTGGAAATTCACCAAAACATATGTATATGCATTACGAATGACGAGGGATTAATGCAAATAATTTCACCTAGCAACTGGTTGCAGAGATTCACATTTTTATTTCCACGAACCCCGTTCGGATTGTACGAATGTGATCAGCTCAGAAATGTACAACGTACTGGAAAATATCACGTCTATTAATCATCTATTTCAAAACTTCAAACGGACTCCATTCTGCATGCTGATTCTCCACAAAACGTCAAACGGGAGAAAGAGAGAGATCGCCTAGGCACACAGAAACAAAATGCGCACCAACTCTTGGAGTGTTCTGACATTTATTGCTCTCACCGCGATCGCGTATGGAATCGGAGAAAAATAAAACAGAACAAAAAGGATTCACTGATTTTTACAAGCAATTCACTGTTTCGTCTTCATCAAACCCAAAAGGAGAAATCTAAAAGCGAATGAGACTTAAATGAATTTCAAAAGGGCAATGAAATTGTTGGTTTCAGACTAAACAGACAGAATTCTTACGTAATCAAGTAACCAGTTAGACGTTAATTCGTATGTACTGCTCCATTTCTAACAGCTTCTGATCAAGTATTTCAGTTTATCCAAGTTCATGTGAAATCGCATTCTTTTATTATTTTTCGGGTATAGCTTTAATTGCACATTAAATCTCGCGATAATGGGGAGATTGCAGCATTCGATTTGAGCCTGCGCAACGCACGCTTTTAAAGAAACAAGTATCTAGTTTAGTGAATTTATCACCCCCATCGATTTGAGTGTAGTTAATATTTTAACATTTCGGTATGATTTATATCTCAGTTGGTGGAACTGGTGGGTTCCACTTTAATTTTCTTGGTCCCAGCCAGTTTCAGCGAGATTTTCTACCCTTTCACCATTGATTATTAGGAAAAATAAAACAGACTATTTGTGCAAAGTTTTCAAGATTCCTTTTTCGAAAATGCCCGTTTCATCATGAACTATCACAGATGCCTAAAACAAACGCTCGAATTAACCGTGGAAATTCACACCCGAAATAAATAGAAAACATGATTTTTAATAAAAGCATCTCGACAATCTTCAAGTCTTAACAGAGGTCACACATACCATAAGCGGATATTGATCAAACTCATGTGACATGGATCACAAATACCTTTCAGTTTTGAGTATCGTATGTATGCAGTGATGGATAAGGAAGAAAAGTATTTATTGCCAACTTACTCTCCCACTGCGAGACCATATACAACTCCGTGAATGAGGCTCAAAATAGTAAGTAAGCACTGAGGGACCCTGTAGAGGGAGAGGGGACAAGTCTGATGAAAGTCAGAGTTCGATTAATATTGGCACACTGTACACAGCGAGAATCTTTACCGTGAATTTAACCACATAAACGTCTCTACTATTGCACTGCGTGAGAACACACTTTCGAAACATTACTGCGCGCTAGTCACTGTCGTTGTTTTCTCTCCAATGGATTTAGGTCACTCTATTTGGATATTTTTGTTTCGAGCAGATTTATAATGAAGTTTACCACTCTTTCGGTAATAAATTTGTCATACAGTGTATTCTGTGTGTATGTGATTATGCATGAATAATGCTTATAGATAGCGTCTTGATATTATGAAACCGATTGTGCAGTAGAATGAAACTATAATGACTGAATTTTTAAGAGTAATTTGAACCAGGTTCACACACACAGATCCAGTTGCGTATATAAATTTTCAGGTAAATATTTACTTCGTTATTTTATTTAGTGTTTATACAAATATGCGGTCAACTTTCAATCTAAGAGCCGCCGTCTGAGGAAACATAGGAAGTTATCACACGGTTGTAAGTTTTTTTCAGTTGCGATGATATGCTTCATTATGAACACCAAAGAGCATTGTGTGATAGGTGTTGATACTCACGAGCAGCGCTTACTTACTGCTGGGATTCGAACCACGAACCTTCAGGTTGGGTGACGAAAACCTTGCCCTTGTGCCACACCGGTAACGGTTTTTGTCTCGATTAAATAACCCATTCTATTTGTGTCAGACCTTGTGTGTGTGAGTTTCACTCATTGAACGTTCGTCAATGCCACTCTTGTTAGATGCGTTTCTTTTGAGACAGAATATTTCGTGACAAATGACCGACAAATGACAGTTCGTCCTAATCCGGACTGGTCGACGGTACATTCATTCAAAGTGTTGACCGACGATAGTTTGACTAAGGAATAAGGCTTTCTACTTCCAACACGAAGATTTGCGATTCGATTTCCGCCCAAGAAACAAAATTACAACACATGACTGGCGAGTCCCAGCGGAAACAAAACAGCTTTTCAAACCTTTTTGTCAGCTTTTTTCCGAGTTTCAGAGAAAATATTGTACCAAGCTAGGTGAAATTTATATGACGAATTCGTAGTGTAAATGAGGCGTGAGCTAAAAGCTGGGAGGCACTAGTCAGCTGTTTCTACCTGGTTTGGTCTCATCATCAGTGCGAATCCATCGACCAAACTGGGGATCGAACCCGGGACCCCACAGGTAGAACGCGAAAACATAATATCCACTCGATCACTGGGTAGCTGATCAAACCGTTCCTCATTTTGAATATACACAATTTAACACAATCCATGATGATATTTGGTTGGAAATTACCGGAGTCCAGGACTAGAAAGCTCTGCCATCGAACCAATTCTTGTCATTTGTTCGACCGGATGGAATGTGATCAACCTCATTGTTGTCTGGCACGTCCGTTCTATTGTGGTCATTCAGGGTTGCCATTTTCGATTACCGAATAGTAGCTATTACTGACTACTGGCTTCATTACCCCTTCCGCTTATGAAGTGGTGGTATTCAATGAAACACCGCATACTGTAGCGCTTGGGAACGTAAAAACGTCAGCTTGTCGACCATAATGAGATCACAGAGGCAACGAGTTCTTATTTCAACTTGACTGGTCACCGGGGTAAACATTTTGATCTGGGAATATCAAAATGTCCAAAAAGATGTTATTTTGGGATGAAACAGACTTATCCTTGCAATTTTGTCTTTTAGTTTTATTTGCTTTGTGCTCATATCTATTCGGTCACCTATCGCAGGGGATTCTTAGCTTCGTTTATCGGTTATCGCATTGTCAAATATTTTGAGGCACTTTTCACCGGAGCGGCTTTTATCAACACAAATGGCGCTACACACGGAAAAGCAGAAGCATGGATTGAATGAAAGTTAACTTGCACTTAGAAAATCTTGGGGTTTCGTTAGATGGATTCTATGACAGCTTTTATGCGGACGACAAATTGAAACGCTCGGGTTTGTCCTTCTCTGTTTTAAACTTTCTACAGCAAAACCGATAATTTCAATGAGTTCGCAGTTGCACTCGTTCGTTGCCTCTGTTTTTGTTCTTTCCTCAACTCCCCGATAGCCTCCAGTTGCCCTAGCCCTCAGCGAGCGAATGGATCCAAACGTGATCTTGCGTGTTCAGGAGACCGCTCCACACGTGGTCATTACTCCGTTACATCTAAACTATGCCCTGGATGAGGTTACCAGTACAGGTTCTACGGTACTGGTTGATGGGACCGGGGGATACGCCGGACCCCGGCCGGAACCAAGTGGCCCAGATCAGGTTGTCTACACGATCACACAAGCACCAAGATTTGCTGACCTGGCGGACAACGAACAAAGTTCATGGACTCATGAAGCGGGACGGCTTGTTAGTCTGAGCGCAGTCACAGCCAGTTCACATGTGGGAGATATGAAACTGCAACCAGGATTGGCAACCAGTCTGCGTGAAGCCGAACCGCCAAGTGTGATTCAGTTTACTCAACGACAAATTGATGAAGGTGATATTGTCTACGTGCCACCCACAGCAGATATCGGTATATCGGTAAGTAATGCAGTTACTAACTCACACAATGCTTAAAATAATTCTGTGTTATTCATCTGTCATTAAAAGCTAGGTTAAATCCTCAATTGGCTTACAATACTTGTTGCAAAATCTGTATCGCCACATTGAACGATGCTTCAAAACCACATTCATCTGCTGTGAATTATTCGATAAAGGTTGTGCATGCAAATACATATCTATAGTCGCTTAAGTAAACGTTCAATTGAATCCCCGCATGCAAGCCTCATACACCATTGTTCGACGTCAGCTCTACCAGCTGTACTGAGATGTGCAAGCATGGCCTCAAATACCACCGGGATTCCGAACCTTTTCGCAATTGAATCACATGAAAGCTCAATGCTTTCTGGCCAATCAGACTGAAAAGCAATTTCATTTTGAAAGTGCAGTTTGTACAGTTTTCACGAAATTCGTAATCCCGCGCAATCCGACTTTCATTTTCTGTTGGGCTACGAAGCGTCTGCAACCAACACTTCCAGCTCGAATAAACCGTCAACATCAACGTCTGCATCTCCAGCTACAATCACTCTACATTATATCCACTGCGTAAAACGTTGTTTCACAATGGCCAGTGTTTTGTTCACACAATGAACTACAGCTAATCTTCTGCGAATCCCACTCATCGGGGAATCGAAAGTGAAAGTAAATTCCAGATACTAGGACATAGAATGTTAATCGGTAGTGTATGATTTTAAGTAGCGTAAAATAAACACTAGAATATTTGTGAAAAATAAGCAAAACTGCGTAAATTACATTACTTTTCGTATTAGTTATCATCGCCTGTTGTTTATTTGAAGAACAAGTGAAATAGACAGAATCCCACAATCTTTGAGTATCGCAGAAATTTCTACCTTTTATGAAACCGTCAGCTTTACATCAGAACGGTGTATTCGGAATGTATCCCCCTTTTCAGTTTCGAGTTGCTTTTTGTCCTGAAACTACATAATTCTCCTTCGGTAGAGTTTTCTAATTCATTTACCGAATGCTTTTACATATAATGTTCCACTGAATTGCAATTCAAGGACGACTACCGAACTGTGTATACCATGAAATGAAACAGTTTTGACTATAATGAACTGAGAGAATTAAGGCACAGCGGACGACTCAGATTACAGACCATCTCGTGGTTGATATTGGAAAGCCAACCCTGAATACAGCAGTAAAGTGACTCTTTCCTTGGATATTTGTGCTCCAAGACTGTTTGAAACTCAGTGTTGTTTCTGAGAGCTCCTGGTAATGGGATCTGTTTCATCATCATTGAAAATATCACAATCGGAATATACATGGATCAACTGCGGCTAACCCGCTCGAAATTCGTCCACCGCAACATGTGGTACCGTCAAAATGTGCTAGTTTCTAACTTTGTATGACTGAGTACCACATCTATTTGACTAAGAGCGAAACCAACCTTTGGAAGACTTAAATTTACCCCGACGCATTTTTCGCATCGGTTCAATCCCCTTGGAGACGATGCTCTCCATCATTGGGAACTCGCAATGCATTTTCATCAAAGCGGTAAACCATGCCGAGCTGGCATCATTACCTGCCCTGAACGTATCGTTCGTTTCCAGGCGGAATCGTTCCTCAGATGCTCTACAGTTGACAAATTCCCCGAAAATCTTTCGATTGGATATAAGATTATAAACAGTTTTCCTTGAAAAACCAAGCTACATAGCTTTGAGCTGCACCTGGCTCATTCGACATTTTCAGCACATTTTGCTTCCCTCTGACGGACAGGCGCTTCCGATCCTGGACTGCTTGCATCTGTGTGCCTTCCTCCAAGGGGTTATCCAACTACTGTGTTTGTGCTCTACACTAGGTTAGATGTAAATGGTTGAATGCCTCATTGTATGTTGGTTGATCAATGGCCAGCTCGTGCATCGATAAGGAACCAAATGAGTAAGTATCAGGAAGTGTGACGTACTGAAGTGGCGACAGTGCATGGTCAGGACCTACATTGTTACGTATACGGTTGATTTGGGTTTGCTGAAAATGGGGAACATACTAAAAATGCGACTTTTGACGGGTACGCAATAGCCCAAGATTGGCTGTAAGTCAAGGGTGTGCATGAGAAAGCAGTTCGCAAAATCGAGCCTTGTTCGCAAAGTCAAGTCAAGGTCCAATGTCACTGGTGTCAATGGATCAAAGATGAAAGCTCACTGTCAGGCTCACGACGTACAATGATGTGCCTATATGCGAACCGGTTTTTTGTACGCGTGACAACCTCAGACGGTCACGTCGGTGAAAAATTGTTGGCCAAGCTGGTCTAATGATGACAATGCGGTTTACATATGAATTGAATCAAATAATCATCCATCCCAGTAGGTTGAACCTAAACAGATCGATGCAAGTCAACCACAGACTAGCACTGACGCACTGATTTAAACTTATGCTGTTCAGTGCAACACGATAACCGAATTCTGATTTAATTGGTAAATTTAGAAAATCACTCGTTCTTGAGAAAGTGAATTCGGTGGCTTTTTTTCATTCACATTCGTTCATTCCCTAAGGAGCTACTCAGATAGGTTATATAAGGTCTTGAATAAATGGGACTATTTTTCGGACCCCGTCTATCGCGTGTCCTTGAACAGACTGCCAGCCAGATTCGCCCAAACGGGTGTGCCTCGAAATGAACCTCTCACAGCAATGAAATGAAAACGAGCAATTCCAATGTTATTGCTCTGTTTCATGCTACGATCATGTAACTTCTACGCGGACCTGTTTGATCGGTCTGTTTGACGATCCGACAGACCAAACATCCATAGTCCAATCTTTCGCCCAAACATCTCTATGCAAATCTGCACTAATATGGTGTGGTGGTTAGTTGCTAGCTTTCAGACAGAAAATATGTTCACATAGGTGGCACTTGAAATATATGCACTTTGTAGATATTGTCCATCAACAGAAAAGTCCACATTGCGACGTTCGGGATGATGAAAATCCTTGCCTTCAATCTCGATAGCTGTGAACTTGATGCAGACAACAGCAATCATTGAAATTTCGCACACCTCTTAAAAATATTGCTTTACCAAATAACGAAGATTGCGGTACAATAGTATCACTTCTGATTTGTGTAATTTGCTCTCCGTTCCCACGTTCAACAAAGAATCTGATGATATTTCAAGACTGGTGGAAGAAGTAGACAATTTTAAGCCAATGGTTCACAGCTGCATTACTGTGATCAGCAGATGAAGATATTTTGTTCCGTCATATCTATCTTAATGGGTAACTGAACATTTAAAACAACAAATTTACTCATGAAGATATTTGCCTCAATTTAGAAGATTTAAGGTATATTAAATGTAGTTATTTGAAAATTGTGGTTAAGAAATGGGCATATTGTATCAAAGCCTATACTCTTAAATGACCAGCTGAACGATTGTCGCCATCGATTGCAGATATTCAATCTGAATTGCGCGAGATTGTTCTAGCAGAGAAGCTCAGCAAATCGGTGTTCGTGTGTGTGCTAAAACCTTATCAGTAGCATCAACACCGTCCAAATTTCGCACTTCTCTTTATCCGAGGAGAGACCGTTAAATCCTCACTTTCGCATTTCGCACAATAAATTGCAACATTTTGTTTGCACCAAAAGGGGGAAAACATCATGACTCTCTCACTCTTTCTCTCTCTCTTTCTGAAATGGCTCCCTTACACTGAATGCATCTTCTGTTAAATAAGGCATCAGGAAGTTTTTTATAGTGAGTAATATATAAACTGCTGGACATAACTTCCCAGAAGCACACGATTGGTTTCGCTAACTTTACCACTCGTCAGGTATGCGCATCCAACAAACGTCTGTCTGTTCGTTCTTATGCTTGAACTCACAGTGTGAATTATGTAATACAAATCTCATTTGCAGCTCGAGGGGTGGATTTAAGAGAAACAAACCCCGAAGAATCAGTGCGATGATCCTGTTTCAGGTGTTGTGATGGTTAGATGCGTCTGACCTCAGCCAACTCGATGCCAGGGCATCAAATCCACTCCCCTAGGTGCAAATGAGATTTGCATTGCATAGATCAGGAGGACTGTTTTCGGCTGTCTTCACAAACACACTGAGCACAAATAATAATAGTAATAATACAATTCTATTATTGTCGGTCAAAAACTGAAACACGTTTGAATCACGGAAGGCGTTAATCGAAGACTGACCAACAACGGATTACGAAAAACAATTCATCACGTTTCGGAAGTAATATGGTGATGCTCAAGTTGTAAATCAAACGCGGCATCTGTTTCAATCATTACTATGACCATAGGAAACCAGCATATTATGTGTTTCCATAGCACACACATCACTTCATAAAATTCCAAACGGAACTGCCTTTTTTGCTGTGTACAAAAGCATTCATGTGAAAGTTCGATCAGAACGCTGACAAGTCTGGAATCACCAAAAACACTCGACTAAGCAAAATCGATACGAGTGTTAAAGGTCACTAACCATACTCGGGTTGAACAGAGGGAAGGGTTGGGAGAACTTGCCCGTTTATCGGAATCTTGGTGGGTCGAGGCTAATCAGAACGTCTGGCGTTTTACAGAGCTCTGATTTGTGACGCCGAATGGCTACGGTCTCAACAAACCGTAACAACCCCACACACACGCATCCAGTATACTGTTGGCTTAACGGGCAGAATGCTTGCTTCGGATAAATGCAAATTTCCCAGTCCAGTAGATGGCGGGAAATATAGCAGTAAAGAATCTTCGATGTCACTTAGCGCTAAATCTATCTGGAAGTGTTCTACGATCCTAGTGGCCAAACGTCTTTCAGTTCTTTTTATATATTTGCTACCAACAGTGCATTGAAGTAGGTAGATACACGAGGAGGCAACTTGAGAGTTCAGCTTATGCAAGTTGGATCCAGTAAGCATTCCCTCGCTTTAACTGATAATAATTAGCGCGACGGCGTAGAAAGTTCTTGAAACAGCTTGTTTCAAACGATGTTTTGCTAGTTTTTCATTCTAATCAAATTTAAACGGCAATGTAATGAGAACGCTTTTCTTTGGTACGTTGCATATCCTCCATCTAGTATCCGTGTTATTGCCATACTTGGCACTGCACAGGATATCAGCGCAAGATAGGTTTCAGGTTTTTCTGCAGAACAAATCCGCTTTGCTCTAGAAAATAAATCCTTTACTAGGACTCACTTATTTTGTACTGCACAGAAGCTCCTAACCTTCAGACATTGTCAGGTTCCCTTCACGTATGTTGAAGAGCTATGAATTGAAAGCATGTCCTAGATTCATGCTCTACGCTAAACTTCATATTGGGGTGACGACAATTCCAAATGTCTAGGATGTTTTACACATGGTCCTTTTTTGACAACAAAAGACGTGTCCTCAACATGAAGCTTATAGAAAATGTTCTTGTATATTGATTGTCGGAGTTTTGTTTCTTCTAGATATCCCATAATATATCTGCTAACACTGGTCCTAGTGAGCTTCCCATTACCACACCGTCTACTTGTCGACATGATGATGATGATGATGATGTTTATTCTCTGGAAATTTTTAAAGAGAACTGAATGTATCAAATTCCCCTTCTTCCTGCGTTTCATACTTCTCTCTTGTTTCCACATATTACCACATAGTTTTCAATAGCAAATTTATGTCGTTTTAGCGAATCTATCCACTGGAATCCTATTCTCCATTTTTGATACCTTATTCCGTTTATCGATCTCATCAACCAAGTGCATTAGATTTTATCGGATTTTATGTTTGTGAAACACGTGGAAATGCTTGATAATTGGGAGAGGGGGCGGTCAACATACTGAGAGGAATAACTGACTGTAGTTTTTCTCTCTCTTTTTCTCTCGTTCAAAATTCGATAATTTCCGCTACATTTAGCAACAGTCGTAGTTCAGTCAGTTTAGTTTCTTTCATTCACATTTACGATCGAAACAGGACTACTAGGATATAATACTAGTGGTTGTAAGAACTAAGTTCTTTCGTCACAATAGTTGAATAGTTTGGTTGAAGATATCTAATAGTCACTCTCATTCAGCAATACCTCAAGATTGCTCATGAAATGCAAAGAAGTAATCCGCATTTAAATCACCGTTACTTGTGAGTAGTGGTGTGGGATAATTGATATTTATTGATTTGAACTGAGTATCCGTCGGATTTCACCTTCACGCACAATCCTCAGTGCATTGGTTCAACCATACACTCGGAAGCACTCGACTCGAGTTTCGCTTACCAGTAGCGCATATTCACCGTCCCGTCCGAGATTTGAACTCCAGACCCATCGCATGGAAGGCGTGCGCGTTACCAATATGCCAACCAGCTCACGGTTGAACCGATGAACTGAGGATTGTGCGTGAAGGTGAAGTCCGACGGATAGTCAGTTCAAATCAATAAAGCAGTAATCGACTTCACGTTTTGGTTTCGATGCTTCAAAATATGGAATAAAAACGTGCCATCTTATTTTGCTGACCAAGATATGGGGTTAACTGAATCCGAGGGTTTGATGCTATGCACGAAAAACAGTATCCGTATTGAGATATTTTTATCGAAAACATTTGTTGCGTAATTCTTGTTAGGATTATATATATGGGATGACGCTATCCGGCACTTTAAAAATGGCCAGCATGACCGATCCTGATCCGAAATTCCCCTATCAAACAGTCGCAAAGAAGCCTGTTTGCTGCAAATCCGATTGGAAACATTTACGGTTGTGCATTTGTTCTACGGAAACCACAAACGAGACCAACAAGAGTAGCACCCCAGAAAATAGTCTCATATCCAAATTGGCCTGGCGCTTCAATACGGGATTCTATCCTACGGATTTCAATCTATCTAGGATGTTTTGGAAACGGACGGCTCTACACCGGTACACATTCAACCTGATTATCCGAATGACACCACTCGTTGCTCATTTGTAATCCCATACCCCATTCGGCGACACATTGGAGTTCCGATATCCCGTCGGATTTGGGCAGACCAATGTAGAGGGGAGTAGTTACACCGCTCGGAACATGTTCCAGACGAATCAATTGCCGGACAGATTCCGTGTTTATTTATACACTCGGGCGAACAAAGCACAGCAGCGAGATCAAACGGTTTCGTACAATCCCGATGTCTGTAGTCGAATTCGGGTGTCACTACTTCGAGTCTCGGCAATGAGTGAAAATTCGCTGTATATATGCAGTTGTTGATTACACAGGTCGCAGTAACCGGTCATGCATGATTCTGTGACGAATCAATGCTTGAAACTGAGGGAACTGTTGTTTTGCCGGAACTTCCACGCGCTTATTGAGTGCAACATTTTTGTACCCCGGATGTTTCGGCAGATCGTGCATTAATCAAGACCGGTCATCGTATACCATTTTGTGCAATTCCTTATTTATGTATAATCCATCGAAGACTGTTCGTCGTTGTCAGTTAGCACAAACCAATGCACTTTTCAGCTGCCTATGTAATCCACCTTACTGCCCCCACTGTCACGATCCCTGTGCGAATCCAGACCCACCGACGGAGTTAACCGTTCCCCTTTGACTCTGTGACCTAAACTTATAACAGGCAGTCACGGGAGAAGACTCGTAACAAATCAGGATATTTGCATTGTACGTAACGGTACTGTAAAGGTAAATAGGATAATGTACCTGAGGGAAGTCGACATTAGGTGAGCTTTCAATTGTCTCCGAGTTCTTTGTTTGTGATTTTGCGATCCTTCACTGTTTTGGTAATGATTGGATAAGCTGAAACGTGAAGAAAATTCAGCTTCATCAGAACCTCCCAGTTCAAAATGCCCGGTCTAATTCAAATAATGTTTTCTTGTACACACACTGAACCCAAACCAGACCCTAACCGTCATTTGTATCATTCATCCCTGGTCCCGTACATCAAAAGAAAAACATGGTATTGGTTGTAAACCGCACAATCTATTAACTCTACTCATTGAAAAAACCTAAATAGGAGGCAAGCAATATGTTCCATTTCCGATGTGTTTATATGATATTAGTGAACTGGCTTCTGGTCACGAAATCATCACACTGTTTGTCATCCAGCTCATCTTCCTAACAAAGCACGGTGTGATTAAGTCAATCTCAGAATTGCCCCTGCTGGACGAAAATGTCAGCAAATTGGTGATGAAAAGTACCCGATAAATGCATCACGGTTGCTGTCAGAGGAACACATCTGAAAGGACCTCAAATACAAAGCAAACAAACTTGACCGCCTTGGCAAGCAACTACATTCGGTGTGATGGGCGCCAAAGCAATTTTAAACTGAATTAGGTCCGATCCATTACAGGCATCCATAACTACTGTAACTGCACAACAAACTCTAACCCTCCTGCATGCATTGCCAATGCAGTCAATATTAACACGTAAGACGTCGTTATACTCCCTAGAACGCGGATAGATTTTTTTCAGCGGACCGAATAATGCGAGAACCTAGAACGTTTGCAAGACAACTGTAAATACCGCCTGTGAAAGGAGGATTTGTTTGAAGAGGAAGCCATCCGACTATATCGATTCTTACGCATAGGCCATTGGTACAATACATCAATATCAAATACAACAGAGTGAGAAAATATCGGGCAGTGTGAATTACCGAAATGTGAGAGTGAGGGGCAGACATTACATAGCCGGGAAAAGTTTCTATGTATGCGAGTGATTTGGACCTACTAAAATGTGAGAATATGTATTGGCAAAGCCACATTCACATGTATATTAACTTAGTGGTCGATTGACAGCCCTGTGTTCAAATTTGAAAAAGGAAGACAGTCAACGAATAAACTACCTTATTGGAGAAAGAAAGCGCAATATAGTATTCTTCGAAGTTAACTGAGAGAGTCTTAACGGAAACATCTTCGTGTACCTTCTCATATCCATAGCACAGTCTAAATCTCGGGAGTAATGGTGACTAACATCCACTTTTGATGGGCTGCCAATCACAAAGTGACCAAATGTTTCGTAAGGTGAAACAAAAATAAACCCGTCCCATCGGTAATCTCGCGAACAGAAATGACAGTAGTATATTACACTACTGATGCAAACGGTTGTTTGAAAAAAGTCATTTAAAATGTACAGCGCTGAAAGTAAAATGAAAAAAAACAGAGGTCACCATCGAAACGTAAGATTGTTCGACCACTTTATTTTAAGCGCCTTGATGTGCACAGGTGAAGTATCTTTTCAGTTCATTCATTAAACGAGAATGGAACACGATCCACTCATTTTTGGTCTCACATCTGCCATTGAATTCGAGCTCCTCCTACAGTCAAGCAGCCGTCTTTGTTATAGGCTAAATCCCCTCACTTGCGCCTATCCGTCTGCGGATGTTCGGTCACTCGAACTAAACACATTCAATAAAAGAAGACTGAGCACATTCCCGAGTGGATGGTCAATGAACTTGTGAACGAACACACCTAGACTGTGAAGATCAAATTCCATCCCCAAAGTTGAGCACCAGTATCATCGATTGATTGCCAAGTGTCAGAGACTAGGTATCGAATGACGTGAGCTTTGTTCCAACCTCTCAGTTGCATTCGCTGGCAGAGACGATTGTTGTAAAAAGATGAAAACATCAACTGTGCAAGCCGAATGATTTATTTGCAACTCTTTTTCTGTTATGATAGAAATATAGCTAGTTTTTACCTCAAAGATCACCAACGGTAACTGCAATTTATCCGTCCACACTTTAGTACTGCGTGATGAAATTAATGGTACTAGTGTGATATGTAAATGAGGAGATATATCGAAAGTTTTCTGCAAATAACCTGTGCAACATTGTTCTTTTGTGTCCTCTGTTCAAAGAAATAGCTTTTCGATATCAGGGATTTGATCAATTGTAGTTCATCGTTCAAAAGTGTTCCCATCCAAACAAATAGTCGGTTGAAAGACTTGCACTCTAGATTCTTAACCGGGGTCGAGGTAATAGGAATCAATATTGTGAACTGTGTATGCAACGAGATTTGGTGCGGACCATAAGGTATCAATATCCATGGGTGAAAATGGTCAGCGGTGCAACGTGGAAAATCTCTCTCACACACTCTCTCTCGAAATCGCTGACTGTTTACCCCTTCTTGCTGTTGCATAACCTCCTTAGTCAGATCTTTCACACTGACAATGTTCAACATGTGTTTTATCGGGTCACACATGATGGTCTACCCAGTTGTTGTCAAGGTTTCTAAAATGTGATATGGAAAACTCAAGCCAAACCATACTTGAATTTGTCGAACAATACTTCATACCTCATCATCACGCGCTCCATCGTGAGTTCATTCAGTCAGTTGCGCACACTCAATAATTGATACCTAGGCTCGAATTTCTCCCCAATCCGAACTCATCATGAACGCGAATCGATCGCTATTGGCCTCCCTTGAAATTTGAACTGCGAACCCCTCGCATTGAATATGCGCACATGCGTGTTTCCAACGTGCCTACTCGACTACATCCGGGGTGATTAGAATTGTCATTTCAAGTACGTTGGAACGTCAGTGACAGTCGGTTAGGTCATTCCACCAACAAGACGGAAGTAATTCACATTTAGCTGTATAATGGTGATGTCAAATGAAAGCTTGCCACCAAATCCGATCGTCCAAGAAATTAATGGTTATGCTTGGCCACCTAAACCTGTTAGGTTAAACCTAGTTCACAATGTCTTATGGATAATAAACATCACGGGGTGAATATCACTGATTTTATTAACTATCCTTCAGAAATCATTCAGTTAGAGTTGAGTACCAGAGACTATATGGCAAACCTGATCAGATTGGGGCTTTGAGGTTAGTTCCAACTGACTGATTATCTCTGGGAACGATCTCTAAAATTATACCTAAATTTGTCATACTACTTGGCACAGTAGTAACATGCGTATTCATTTGATGGATTCGGAGTTCGAATCCGAGTGAAAGCACAACGTTGATGATCTCATATCGGAGAGAAACTCAACTCGATATCTTACCCATTATGTGATTGATTGAAAAAACTGAGCATCCGCCGAGGCGATGAGCTCTGCGGTATTGTTAGTCAAAAATTCAAAAATACGTATTCTATAACAATAGAAAAATGAAATACATACCTCTTCAAAAACTGAACAAAGGAAATATCGAGACATTTGCCACGGCACCGAATTTTTGTGCAATAGAACGAATGGAACGCATAATAACATTTCATTGACAGTGTTTCACGATTTGAGGACAACGATGTCACGAACTGCAGCCCCTGAACTACTCGCTTACTTGCTTCACAGCTTATTCGGAAAAGTTGGCGAGATAGATTTGTCACCTTTGCACAATCAAAGTACGTACAAATTGTTTGCATCAACTACACTGAATTGGTATTTATTTTTGAATGGAGAACATCAAATTCTAGATGGCTTATTCCGATATTCCTCTATCAAAATTGAATGTAGAAATATGAAAAGAAACATGAAAACGACTATTGTTAATATACTTTTTTGTTTTGTTTACTGTGTTTGTAAGCTTACTGGTAAGAGAGCGACGAAGTCCAGCTTGTTTTTCTCTTATTTGTAGTGAGTCTGTGCATTTCGGAGCCGGAACTCCATGTTTGTCAACACCCGTCTCTTTTCAGGATCGTTTCGTTACCGTGCATTATACAGTCTCCGGACCGGGCGGTGTACGACTGCCGGATCGACGTATCCGCATTCTGCTTGTGGCTGAAGACAATCAAACACCAACTATTGAGGTAAGTTCATCGCACAAAAAAAATATGAAGGGACTATCACTGTTGTTCTAAATGTGCAGTTGTTCATCGAACGTATGAGGCACCTTGACTTTTGCCAGCGAGCATCTTTTACAGCCTCATTCACGGATATAGACAGGACACCACCCCACACTGGTGTAATGAACTGGTGGTAATGAAGTGGGTGACAGCAAAGCTGCCCACCACCAAAAGCATATGCATAAGCATGAATCATGCAATCAAACACCTTACATCTCAAAGNCAACTGAAAGTGATTTTAGCGAGAATAAATATAGGCCTGTTTAGTGGACTTTTAGTGCTAGATAACCAATAATTGAATCACGATACGCGCCGAACGACTAAAAGCATGACAACTCAATCCAATCGATAGAATACCGTGGCTTTCACCAGCCATACTGCCTTCCCCTAAATGATCCCGGTTATTTTGACTTGCATGATCGTCATGAACGGAAGTTGATGAAAACCTCTTGGATGGAAAAGGTATACATATGAGGCGTATTAGGTCGAAATTCAATATCACCAGTCGCACGTAACCTCCTAGTCTTTCCTCATCCATCCTATTGTCAAAAACTGAAATGGGGCTTGTAACCGTACTAGCAACTGATAAAAATCGGAGTCCACACAGCACCGATTCAGAAAGCAGTCGGGACACACCAAAAGGCCACAAAGTAGTATTGTTATGGGCGGAAAAATAAAGTTTGCCGAGAAATCGCATTCAGTGATTCAAGCTAAATTTCATAGTCTCTGCATAATCGCCGAATTTGACTCCGCTTGGTCGAAGCTCAGGTTTACTGTCACCGCGTCCGGTCGTGTCATGCAAACGGTCAGAATATCATCCTGATTATTCGGTGCTGCTTTCTGGATTTGTGCCAGAGAGTAATTCGCCTGCAAATATGACTCAAATAAATAACACTGGCTAGTCTCAGTATCATCAGAAAACCGTAAGTTATTTGACCTGCATGTCTCCGATGTGCGTATCATTGTTCAAATCTAATATTCGACAAACGCCACTCCATTCGACCTCGCACAGTCTCTCCGCAGATGTAATTCGACACAACGACGATACTCAACTACGAAAGATTCCAAGTTGAACAGAATAGTTCCTAGGGATGGACTTGAAACGATAGGAATGCAACTCAAAGAAATTTCCCGAAGACATGTATGAAATTCCGGAAATTGACGCTTGATATCTGTTCGTCAACCTCGGCGGACACAGGAGCTAATCACGCAACAGTACTTCTTGATCTCGAGAAAAAATCAAACCAAATGACTAGAAGCTATTGAGTGAGCAGACAATCATTTGTGAAAGTCTCCTTCAAAATGGCATAAAGCTACAGACAACCCGCATGTAGAATGCATTATGCTCTCAGATGATGAATCTCGTAGGAACAAGCAGCCAAGGTAACACATTATTGCTGTACCATGGCTACGGATGACTTCGACATGGAACGTCTTGGATTGCAAGTGAATTATAGCGCCTCATGGTCATACCGGTAAACTGGGCACCAAAGAAATACCATGGGATTCGCTTCCCAGCCCAATAAACATTCAATGTCTCACATATAGTTAGTGAATAACCGCATTCACTAGACATGCGTGAGCATGAACTGCAAATCACGCCATTGTCATACTGCTCTTACGAGATCCAATCCCAACAGGTAACTATTCGGTGATGACAGTGGACGGCAGTCATTGGTCAAATGTGTATAAAGTATAGCTTCGGTGCATAAAGCGATTGGTGACTTTCTTTAAGCCATTTCATGAACTAAAATCAACGAGAAGTTTCGGTGTGATTGTAAATTAAAGTAGTGGTAGTCTGAGTTGCAAAATGAGGAGCAAGACGGAAAATAGTACTACAAGGAAATGAATTACGTGTAAATTTCTTCAAATGATTTAAGCGATAAGGCACTGACTGAATGATGAAGAAAATCGATCAAGATCGGCACAAAATCGATATCCATCAATCAACACAAAACTAAACAACGACAAGATTTGTTTGTTGCAATGATGTATACTGATCAGAGCAAAGAGTAGTGTTATGTGAACTTCATTTTTCAACCACATTACAAGTTTCTCGGTAGGAGACGGAAATTTAATATTGTGTTGAATGTACAACTTGTACACCGGAAATAATGAAATTAACAACAGCTTGTTCACAAAATTGCATTTTACGGGAATTTAGCTCTCAAGTTTGAGTATAACACCATATGGCTATCAAGAGAGCATCAGAGTGCTTTCCCACAAAAGCATCGGGCATTAACAGGATTTCGTTTCCTTGAGGAAAAATGCTCAATATTTGCAAAAGCTTCTGATGTCTTTCCATGAAGAAATTAAGAAATTAGTGAGAATTTAATTTCCGGAGCATGGGTCTTGCATATCAGGAAACGGGTCAGGTTTTCTTTTCTGCAATGACGTGAATAATGAAATCTAGCTTGAGGGTGGATGAAAACTGTCATCCTTTAGGTTGGAAATCACTTTATGTTTGGTTCTAGTTCAAAAACCGAAAGTAAGTTTAGAAAAACATACTACGGTACCTACTGAAATACGTGACTTTAAACCATCCATTTCAAAGTAATAATTCATCACACCAATGATGATGAATCGGTTCACTCGAATGATGACTCGGATGATGTGACAATTATGACGATGATGATGATGATGACGACGATGAGGAGGAGGAGGAGGATTACGAGTGCTTGACTTTCAGCTGTTGTTAGATTGAAACATTTATTTCCCGAGATAAATTTGAAAGCAGAGTACAACAAAGTTAGTTTGTACTATTTATTCCAAGGCAGATCTCGCTGCATCTCAACAGGTACAATACCGCAGAAAACTCCAGTTTGTATCGTTGAGCAGTACATTAGGTTACACAGAAATACGACAGGGACGAATCATCACACTTTCACCTTTGCCAAGGCATTAACAGTGTAATAACTGACGGTTTTTTGCACACACACGTCAGCTTTCCATTTCCTGATTGCAACGTACTCCGCGAACCTAATCAGTCGGAGGTTGGTTTTGGCATAAATTATCTTAAATCGGTTTGTCGAGTCCGGACCGTGATTCGTCATCAACAAATGTCGAGCGATGGATGACGCAAGCTGTTTGTGTGTTCGTGTCCTTGAGTAAGGATGGGATTGGTACTGGTGTAGTGTTATTGAGTGTGTTAGTGTTGGGTGGTGCATGTGTGTGAGTTTGAGTAGTCGAATTGAGTGATGACCTTTGATCATGTGATTCGGTCAGAAAATGGAAACCTGACCTGTGTGTGCAAAAAGAACTGTCAGTCACACTGTCACTGCCTTGGCAGTGGTAAAAGTGTGATGATTCGTCCCTATCGTATTCTACACCTTTTCCCATCAAGCTTTAGCCAAAACCCACAATGTAGTGTAACGATATAAACGATATAAACTGCAGTTTTCTGCCGTCTTGGTAGATGGTTGAGACGCAAATGATATATTCCCAAAGAATCACTGCGCACCATTGCAAACCAATATTGCACGTCGAAATTTGGTCTGAAGGTATCGAAACTAATTCAAACAGTGGACATCGTTTTATGCGCAAAAGAATGCTTTTGATAATGGAATTCCTTATTTCTCTATATTTAAATGGGCAATTAGATATTACTATGATCGCTGGTAAAACATAGATGTAATGATACATATTCACAACTAGATACATAGCCTTATTATGTTTCTGATGGAAACTATGGAACCCAAAAGCAGTATCAACTCGTAGATAGCAGACAGTAATTTTCAACTACCACAAGAAATGATCATCCTGAATAACCAGATACGATACTCTTCTGGAACAACGACGATAATAAAAAAAACTACAGATTTGGAATCATCATCATTATCATCAACCGGACTTACACAATACATCAATGCCCGTCAGCATGCTACTCAAGAAATCCCAGAATCCAGCCGATTTGCCTCATTCTCAAATGGTCCACCAAGTCATTTTTCACCTGTTTGCCTAGCTTCCAAATCTGATTACAAACTTTTCATTAGCAGCGGACAACAAATATGCAGCCCTTATGTGAACAGAGTGTCGCATATGGGAGAGTGAGCGAGCGAGTGAGTGAGAGAAGAAGACAGCTACAGAAAAGAAAGAAACGCATGCACTGAGCATTCATGCAGAACGTGACCTTTGCTAGCAGTAATCGGTACTGTTCCAACAATCGGATTACTACCGTATGTCATTGCTCCACCAGTTATCTCCCGGTATCGTTTCTTTCGGTTCTGACCGCATAAGCTTTATGCTTTCCGTGTTCTCTTTCCTGGTCTGCTTCTCTAAGCGATTTAAAATTAGTCTCCACGTAACTTCATCTTGTTAACCATGTGCAGTGGCTTGTCTCTGAAAACCACTCGAACCATGAAACACACTTTTGAGCAAAATATTATCTGACATCACACACACACACACACACACGTCCTCTGACTTGATCGAATTCGTATCATCGTTCACCATGCGTGTTCGCCATTATCTACACATAAGCAATAACTACTGCACACAAAACTCGGTAATACCATATCTGACCAGATTTCTTCGTAAGATTTGGATCCTTCACCGTAACTTCTGTTGCTGTTATTGTTGTTGTTGTTGTTGTTGTTGTTGTTGTTGTTGTTGTTGTTGTTGTTGTTGTTGTTGTTGTTTTAATAAGCGTTGCTAGACATCGTGTGAACAAACTGATTAATCAGTTTCTGTTTCTTGGAAAGATAACAGCCCATTTGCTAGCAGAAACAGCTATCAGTTTCACTTTCATTTGTGTGGTACTGTAAAAGTATGAACCTTCGTCACGCGTACTTATATGTGTGTAACTGTGGAGCTATCAGCTGCAACACACAATAGAGCAATATCGTGTGTAAATATAATGCTGTGTTCCACCAACAAGTAATATATGGAATTATAAGATTCTTGAAACAGAATGGACAGAGGGACACAACGGACTAAATGCAAAGAGGTTTGATGATGGCTGGGTTTCTGTCATGGTGTGGGTCGCTACTTGGTTTGATGTGAAGAGTGAGCAGATTTTCATCCACAGAACCATGACTGATTCAAAATCACCGAAGTGTTGAATGGACAATTGAAGCCGCTGGTAGAACAGAGATCACTCCTTGTTTTCCACGAACAAGACGCTAAAACCTTGCCTTATCAAACCACATGATACTACCCTACTGAGTTACACACCGGTGGCACCGATCGGTTCACTCCAGATAAACCTTTTATTAGAAGCTGGTCATTCAACTAATCCTTTCCGNGATCCTTCGTTATGGGCTTATGTCAAACACAGAAGGTCGACCAATACTGGAGAGATGGTGCTGTGCACCGCTTCCTCTTCGTCGTTTCATCTACCCAGAAACCGTAGGTGTTGGTTTTTCTGATGAACTTTATATCTGAATAGTGAATTTTCAGGCTTCTCATATAGCGATTGCCTGACGGGTATAACCTGCTGCTCTGTTGCACGCATTCCAAACCGAATTGACGCGGACATCGAAAGCTTCTTCTTTTCATATGTGAATAGAGATCAGCAGACATGAGATAGTGGAGTATGTGAATGTGAATGGATGTAATTTCGGGATCGTCCACGCAAACTATACGTCGATGGGTTAGATAAAACTATACATGATCTGTTCCGATAGAGTGTACTACACCTTTACATAATGTGTCGGGTTTTGGGTCCGACTATGATTTTTCATTAATAGGTATCGATAAGTAGATGATGGAAGCTATTTGTGTGCGTTCGGTGTTTTGTGGTGAGGGCATTTTGGTGGAGTGTGGCAGTGGATGATGCGTGTGTGCGAGGTGAAGAGGATGATCTTTGGTCATATGGATCAGTCATTCAGGAAGGGATGAACTCTTTGATCCATGTGTATAGAAATTTCTATCAGTTACAACAATTTCTTGGGAACTAGCCATTCACATGCTTCTTGTGTTTAATAAAACAGTGACAATGGTCCTTAAGCGGATAGAGTGAGGAACTTAAACTGATATCATGGTTTAAGCTAAGCAAATGGAAGTTTTTCTCTAGGAAAAGTTAAGTACCACAGCTTATGTAGGTATCTGGATACACCTCTGCTCACAGCTACCTGGTATAGCCATTCGCTGTAAGAATGGGATGTAGCTTGTCCAGGTTCGCTTGCAGGTTATCCTCTGTGCTGATCACATATGTATATTTCTCTCGGCTCCAATTAATACTGATTGGCATCTATCTACAACCCATCCAGTATTGCAGTATACAATCCTACGAATTGTTCCATCTCACCTCCTTTTCATGAGGACGCCTCGGAGTAGTGTTTGATCACAAAGACAAAAATGTCAACCTGATTGTGAGACCAATTTTTGGGGCGCTGTTGTGGATCCGTAAATGTATCCCGAACTAAATGGTGTATTGATAGCATACACACGATGACGACTGGAGTAGTTATATCTCCATATGCACATCAAATTCCACTCAAAAATAAATTGAATACGGTAAAAGCCTAGATCATTTTGGCCACGGAAGATTTCGATAGCCTTTTGGAGCTTGTTTGGCGTTTCGATGTGTGATAGGTCATTTATATTTCGGTTCTCCATCTCAACCTACACTAGTCCTCAAGAGATACGTTCCGTATATCGCATATCATTCTACTATTCCACTTCCGTTTGCAGACCAATTAGGATTTATAAATAAATTTGAATTTGTCATAGTTTGGGTTTGATGATATTTACCTATCAACCACAATTGTTTTTTTACAATAGTTGGGCTATCATAGTTTCATTAGACAGATTGTCAAACTACCTATCTTCTCTTGACTTCTTTTCATCCTTTAAAATAATATTCTGATCGATTCATAGCCTTCTTTCGATAGTCCTGCAGGCCCACGTAAGCAATCGCTTAACTGAGCAACTAGCTTAAAAACTGCTTATAATGCTTACAAAAAGATGAGAGACTGGGTCATGTGAGGAGATCAGATCAGGTTTCAAATGAAAAAAGGTCCACTAACCCACGCATGAAGTGGGAGCAAACCGACTGAATCACTACCTCAGTCGTCGTCTATATCGTCGTGAGCGTTAAGACGGTTTGGTCAACACCTGTTTCATTTACCGTACTACTCATGAAATTTGAGAAAAGGGGAAAGTCTTTACGATTATAGAACGGAAGCGATTTCTCATGATGAATTTCAAATCACTTTGTCCCAATAATTTTTGTTTTTTAATTTAAAAATAAACAAAACAAGGATAAACAATTTCGGATGTGCTACATAATGCAGCCCACAAATCAGAACAGTTGACCGTAAACCAGTGAGGAAACACAACACCCCTTCAAACATTAAAAAGATTACAAGTACAAGACCTACCCCGTTCACTTCATGTAGCAGAAGATTCACCATAAACAAGCTGAAATTGGTTGACTCCAAAGCATTTGGATTCCACGTATTACGCACGATTTTGCCCATGCCTTACTGAGATTTATCCCACATTAACTCTTGGATCGATCAAGCTTGGTTTCCTTTAAGAGGTATGAAGAGACGACCGGTTTCCATGGGTCGAAGTGACAAGCTTGATGATTCGGATGATGATGATCATCATCATCATGGAAACTAATCGGGCAGGCTTCCGAAATTTAAAAGTGGTAAAGTGGAAGTGAGAATGCGTATGCGTCGGACAAATTAATTTCACAAATAGCGGCCGAGGCCAGAATACATAGCGCAGTTGACTGCACACAGGTTTACACGCTATTCACAAGATTATAAACTTCTTCCCATAGTGTTGAATAAACTAGAAAGTGATTTAACACTCTTGTGTGAAGGTTTATTCTGATTCTAGGCATATAACTCAAAGTTTTCTTTAGTTTTGCCATGACATTTACGATTCCGCAGAAGGAACTTGGAAACGAGCTAGGGAGATTGAAATTGTTTTATCACGAGGTATCGTCAAAAACGCCACAAGTCTCGTACTATCGATCACTGACTTTGTATCATCCTCTGATCCCTGAAGATACCAATCTTCACTTGAAGTTTTGGTTTCAGTAGTTTCTAGGTTGCATGCGCCACTC